AGGCGTCGGGGCGGAGGCGCGCTGGCGGTTGGCGGGGGCGGATGCGGAGGGGTGTGTCGTGCTGAAATAAAGGGGTCGGGGCGGAGGAGTGTGCCGTGCCGAAATAAAGGGGTCGGGGCGGAGTGTGCAATTGCTGGTGGGCGGGGGGGGATGCGGAGGGGGTGTGCCGTGCCGACAGAAAGGCGTCGGGGCGGAGGGGTGTGCCGTGCCTGAAGAAAAAGGGTCGGGTCGGAGGGGCGCGCTGGCTGGTGGGTGGGGGGGATGCGGAGGGAGTGTCCGTGCCGAAATAAAAGGGGTCGGGGCGGAGGGGTGTGCCGTGCCGAAATACAGGGGTCGGGTCGGAGGGGCGCGCTGGCTGGTGGAATGTGTGGGGGATGGAGGGGGTGCCGTGCCGAAATAAAGTGGTCGGAGCTCTAGACACCCTGTGCAAGATAATAAACAATTAAGAATCGGCGCATCCCACCCTGAGCCCATTGCCGTCCCTGGTGGCTTTTCGGAGCATAACTCGGGCCTCCGGCGGCCGTCGGGGACGATCCAGGCACTCCCAGAACGCTGTCGGCGAGGCGCAGCCGCTGGAGAACCCGAGGATGGAAAAATCGCCGAAACTCGAAAACGCCCGAAAACCTCAAGCCTCGAACCGATCGCCCCCCCCAGACCCATCCGCCCCTAACGTTGCTTATCCTCTTCTGAATCTCCCCCCCCTGAGCCTACTCCCCCATATCCTCGTTCCTCCTCCTCCGCCTTCCGCCTGCTCCTTTCCTCCTCCTCTTCCTCCTCCTCTTCCTCTTCCTCCTCCTCCTCCTCCTCCTCCTCCTATTCCTCCTCCTCCTTCTTCTCCTCCTTCTTCTCCTCCTCCTCCTCCTCCTCCTATTCCTCCTCCTCCTTCTTCTCCTCCTTCTTCTCCTCCTCCTTCTCCTCCTCCTCCTCCTCCTCCTCGTTCCTCATCTCCGTCCTCCTCTTCGTCCTCGTCCTCGTCCTCGTCCTCGTCCTCGTCCTCCTCGTCTGCCTCCTCCTCCTCCGTCCTCGATCCTCCTCCTCCTCCTCCTCCTCCTCCTCGCTCGGCGGCGCCCTCCGAACTAGCTTCGCCAAGCGGGCGCTCCGACCTACCGCGGGGAGCCAGCGGTGCGCCCGGGCGCGCGCGCCCCAGCCACCGCCGCCCGTAGCTCGGCCACCTCCAGCGCCGCGGACCGGCCGGCGGGGGGTCGTCCTCGGCCCTCGGTCCTCGGCCCCTCTCGATCCTCCTCTTACTCGAACTTCCTCCTCCTCCTCCTCCTCCTGGGTCCTCGTCGATCCTCCTCCACCTCCTCCTGGATCCTCCTCCCCCTCCTCTTCCTCCTCCTCCTCCTCCTCTTCCTCCTCTTCCTCCTCCTCCATTACTTTTTCTCATAGATAACTCCTCCCTGTGGCACCCCGAGGCCGGTCGAAAGGGCGGGCCAGGAGTTTCGCCCGAGACTTCCTCACCATTTATGGCCCTGATGCTTAACATTTAACAACATGTCACAAATGGGGGGGTGGGTTGTTTTACAAGCGTGGCTCTCGTCTGAAGGCCGCGCACACTCTTTTTGAACAATTGCAAGACTTTCGCGGATTGAGGGCGGGTCGTTCTCAAAAAATGGCTCTCGCCTTAGCGTCGCGCGCATTCGTTCTATTGCAAGATGTTCGCGGGTTGAGGGCGGGTCGTTTTCAAAAAGTGGTTCTCGCCTTAGCGCCCCGCACATTCGTTTTCAACATTTGCAAGAGTTTTACGGATTGAGGGCGGGCCGTTTTCAAAATGTGGCTCTCGCCTTGGCGCCGCGCACATTCGACTTAAACATTTGCAAAAGTTTCACTGGTTCTCATGGTTAGCGTACCTGATATAATGTTTTGGAGCGGCTCAGAACTGTCAGGGCACAACAGTTATGTTGATTCGCGGTGTTGAAGTCCCAGGAATGGTACTTTGGCAGGCTTCACGATCGCCAAGACGTAACAGTCAGGTTAACTTGCGGCGTTGAAGTCCTGAGAATGGTGTTTTGGCACACTTCAATATGTTCGCACGGTTGTCCCCCAACGCGGCATTCCCTCAGTGGAAACGACCTTGCAGGGGACTATTAAGATGGATCTTGGAGGGAAGTCGTACTTCAGCGTCTTTGATAAGTCTTGGGTTTACACTGGTCCTCCTCCTCCTCCTCCTCCTCCTCCTCCTCCTCCTCCTCTCCGATCCTCCTTCTCGACCGACCCCCTCCAACGCAGCGGACTGGCCGCTGGGGGGTCGTCTTCGGTCCTCGGTCCTCCTCGATCCCCCTTCCCAAACATCCGGCGTCTCGAAAACATCGGAACGGAGGTTTCCGTAGTTTTCTGCCTCTCGGGGCCCTTGCTGGGCCCCAGGACAATCAAGAAACGACTCGCGATGAGAAACCGGTCTCAGGGAAATGGTCGAGAGGTCGGGGGCCCGCGTTTAGAAAAAAACGAAACGCCGGACGCGTGGGTTCCTCGATCCTCCTCCCCCTCCTCGACCAGTCAATGACTGGCCTGGCCAATGACCAGCCGGGCCTCCCTCTCCCAGCCCTCCGCGATCCTCCTCCTGGATTCTCCTCCAGGTCGCGAATCGGAGGCTGAGGAGAATCGAGGAGGCGGAAGATGATGCGGGAGAGGTGGAAGCGGGCGTTCGGCCGGCCGCTCCCGACGCCCATGGCAACCGACGGGCGGCCTCGCCCTCACCGCTCAGGTCCGAAAGATCTCGAGGGGGACGGCGCCACTCCGCCCGACGCCTGGCATCACTTCGTGCGGCTGCAGCGACGAGGCCCGGCACGGAGGCCCTGCCGTGGCCCCGCACGCGCAGCGCACGCCAGCGGCGCGGCGGGCAGCCCGCGGCATGCAGCGGCGGAGCCTCGGCGCGCGGGCCGCCTGCGCCGCGCGCCTGGGCGCGCACCTCGCGTCGGAGGCTGCCAAAGGTGTTCCTGGCCCGAGGTGCCCCCAGCTTGTCGCTCCATTTTGGAATCCCTGAGGCCCTCTGGGCCTCGTGAGGGGTGCTCTGGAGGCCGTGGGGGCCTCGTTGGAAATTCTGGGCACACCCTGGGCCGATGACACTTCTGGCAACACCCGAACGCCGCGTTCACCCGAAGCCGCTGGCGCCCTGGAGAGCGCGCACCTGCTCGACGCCCGCTCGCGGTCCACCCACGAGCCCGGATCGCCACGCGCCACGTCCTCCCATTCGAAATCCCCTCCTCAAGTTCTTAACAAACGTTCCGCATGGAATGTAACGGTGTAAAGTGACACAACTCAAGGCTAAAGGTGATGATGCCCAACGAGAACACTGGTGTGAAGTCAACAAAAGCCGTGCATCCGTACAGCGGTTGCAATTTTCCATTTCGGGCCGTGCACTTTGAGGACGCATCAAGCGGTAACGCCATTTTGAGAATGAGCCGCCCTCCATTATATCTAGCTCAGACTGTGCAAATTTACATGTTTGGGTCGGCCTCCCAAAAATCCAGCAGCCATCAAGATGGAGGGCGGCTTCTTTCAAAATGTGGTTTTCGCGTGTGACTCTCTCAATGTGTATGTCGCAGAAGGCAAGGAAGTCCAGAGAGGGCAACATTTTGAAAAAGATGCCGCCCACCATCCTTTTGACTGCTGGAGCTTGTAAATACGAACCTTTGTGGTGCTAAGGTGGGAGCCACATGTTGAACATGGCTTACCCTCCATCCTTGGAGTAGTCGGACGCCGTCAAGACGACAATGCGCGTCGCGAAGGCGAGGGCACCATTTTGCAAACCACTCAGCCTCCCTCATTATAGCTGTTGGATTTCTCAACTTCAAGATCATAAGCGGTGAAAGGGTCTCAAGCGAACTCCCCGACCGCCCTGCCAACACGTCTGGTTGTGCGACGAGGAGCCATGTATACGGAAGACAGATGGAGGAGGAGCAGGAGGAGGAGGAGGGGAGGAGGAGGAAAGTTGAATTCTGCTGCGTACGCCTTTCGGCTTTTTGGAAGGAGAGGAAGAGTGGGAGCAGAGGGGCGGCCCAAATCACCTCAAAAGAGTGTCCCTGATCCAATCACGAGGTCCATCGGGGCAGTTAAAGGGGGGGGCAGCCAACATCACGTCAAAACCGGTCCGTGGACCCATCCCTGGATTCATCGGGGCAGCTTTTTCAATCAGCCGCGGCGACAAGAAGCTCCAGGAACGCCCCCAAACCTACCAGACCACTCACACCCAGACATCCGACGATGTGCCTATGTTTCCCATCCGCGGGTCCCACGAGTCTCGACCCCTTCCCAAGCCTGTCTCTCACCTCGGGCCGCCTTCAAACGGCCTCTGGAGGCTCGACACGGGCCCCCACGCGGTTTTCGGGACATAACCCGGGTCTCTGCTGGCCGTTCGGGACGATCCTGGCACCCCGGGAACGCTCTCGGCGAGGTGCACCCGCTGGATTGCATCCCGAGGTTGAAGAAACCGCCGAGGACCAACGCAGACGCCGGAGAGCCTCGAATTCGACTCCGAGCAAGCCATCCCCCTGCGCCTGTATCCTGGTGGCGGCGGCGGTGGCGATCGAGCGGCGGTCGAGGGCCCCCCCGTGGGGCACCGCGGCGGAGCCTGCTGCTCCCGGGCGGCGCGCTCCTCCTCCACGGCGCGCCGCCACTCCGCCTGCAGCGCCCCGCAGTCCGCCCTGCGCGCGGCGTGGAGTCGGGGGCCCCCCAAAACCGCGTGGTGACATGCCGTTGTCCGGTGGTTTGTCTCTTTTCTCTGATCTTCGCGGCGATGGGGGGAGGAGGAGGAGGAGGAGGAGGAGGAGGAGGAGGAGGAGGAGGAGGAGGAGGAGGAGGAGGAGGAGGCGAGACGCCGCCGTGGCGGGAAAGGCAGAAAGGCAGGAGGAGGAGGACAAGGACGAGAACGAGGACAAGGAGGAGAGGAGGGGGACAAGAGTCCGCGCGCACCGAGCGACACTGGGAGTGCGTGGTGACAGACCGTGTCGTGACCTCGGAATCCCAAACGACCCCACTGCACGGTCCGTCACCACACGGTTTTGGGATCCTCTGGAGGCCCCAGTCGCCCGAGGCGTCCTCAAAGAACGGCCCAAGTCCCAAAACCGTGTGGTGATCCCGAATCCCCACTGACTCACTTCACGGTGTAGTGTGGTCACCACGCCTCTTGGGGGCCCCCGAGAAAAGGGGGTGGTAGGCTTCGGAATCGGCGATACATCGCGCTGATAGATCTGCGATGGTCCCACGATCGCGAAACCGAGCGCTCCTGGGCGATGTGGGCTATCGGGCCACGATCGGCGATGAGTGGGCGATCGGGGGGCGATGCGTTCCCCCCTGAGCCTATCCTTCCCTAACGCTGCCCCTGATCTCAAGGAAGCCAATTGGACTCTGCCGAGTCGAGCCGGCCCGATGCTCGAGAACTTCGACCTCGGCTCGACCCAGAACTCTGGACCCCTTCCAAGCTCGGGCCGCGATACCGAGGCCCAGAGACGGGGGAGGGGGGGAGATGCCGAAGGGTTCGCCGGTGGCGCTGGCTCGCAAGACCCTCGGTGGCCTGGACTCCCGCCTGCTAGCATGGGGGAAACGGGTCCTGAATGAAGCGGGTCCTGGACCCTGGGGCCTTCCCCCGGGACCAGTTCTTGGGGCCCGTGGAGGGCCCCAGGAAGCCGAATACGGCGAAAATCCTCAGGACCCGTTTCCATCAGGACCCGCTTTGTCCATGGCCAGGGGACCTGGGCTCCCGCCTGGACCCCCGCCCGCCCGCCGGTGCTTCATGGCATCTCGCGGCGGACGGGAGCTCCCCAGCCGACTTTCCTGCCAGCGCGGCGCGGGGGCAGCGGGGGAATAGGGTGCGGGGGCGCGGAGACAGTCGAACACGCGAGCGCTGAGCGAGGGGGCGGGTGGGAGGGAGCGAGCGAGGCGACGCCCGCCGCCAGAAAGGACACCAAATCTCCAACGTATACCTGTAACAGATCTGATCGGCTACGCAAAGGCAGACACAGTCGGGCCGCAGTGATGTTTCTCGGTCTCTTTTGGCTTACACCCATACCTCGTCGATCTGGGTCCCATTCTGCGCACGCTCGGCGTCTGAGCCCACTCGGCCGCCGATCAGACTCGAGATCCAGCTGCCTCTCCCGGCTGCCGAGCCCGCCGACCTCCCGCCGCACCTGCTGGAAACGGAGCCCCCTCGGCCGCCCCTCCAGCGGCCGATCGGGCTCAGGCGCCAAGTGGGCTCAGAGGAGAGCGCTGGGCCCCGCCCGCCCGCCAGAGCTCGGCGCCAGGGCGGGACCCCTCTGGCGGGCTGCCTCATGGCCAACAGGATCTCCCCGCCGAACTCGGTCAGCGCGGCGCGGGACACGCAAGCCTGGCCGGCGCCCCTCTCCTCGCCTCAAGCCAGTTCGGCGCCTGGAGCATGCAGGAACCTCTGTCTCCAGACCTCCTCCATCTTCCCTCCTCCCTCTTCCCTCTTCCCTCCTCCCTCCTCCCTCCTCCCTCCTCCCTCCCTCCTCCCTCCTCCCTCCTCCCTCCTCCCTCCCTCCCTCCCTCCTCCCTCCCTCCTCCTCTCCTCCCTCCTCCCTCCCCATCCACCTTCTCCTCCTCCTCCTCCTCCTCCTTCTCCTCCTCCTTCTCCTCCTCCTCCTCCTCGCCTCCGAGCCGCCCGTGTGAGTCCACGACCTCGGGCTGGCTGCTGCCTAGCCCCCGGCGTTTTTCCTGGGTCCACTCATCCTCCGCATGGGGGGTCGTCTTCGGACTCCTCGTGCGTTTTCCGATCTCGTGCGTGTTTTTTTGCCAGGTGATCCAGGATGCTCCTCGATGTCCTCGCAAAGAATCCAAGCCGAAAGGACGAATCAACTGCCCCCGGTGAAGGGGTGGAGACCTCGGGGGCTCCCGGGCTGACCAGATCATTCATCCATTGGACGTATGGGTTCGGCCGCTGGGGGGGATTTCATTGCGACGACACGAGTCTTTGTGCGTCTCTCGATAAAATCACCCATGCCGAACTTTGAGCTACTTCCGTCCTCCCTGAATGGGGCCCCCGAGAGGCTCCCGAAAGGCCCCCAAGTGGCTCCAAAGAGGCTCCAAAACTGCTCCCCATAGGCCCCCGAAAGCGCTCCGAAGAGACCTCAAGAAGCATTCCATGGCATCCCTGAGGACTCTGACCCACGTCAGCGTCGTCGTCGCCGCCGCCGCCGTCGTCGTCGTCCCCTCTTAGGGTCGGTGGCGCCGGCCGTAAGGTCTGCGCAATGGATTGCCCTGCCTGTTGCTTGATGACGTGCGAATCGATCTTTAAAGAGACGTGTCCAACGGATCTGCCCGTCAGCTGGAGTGGCGTCTCACTGTTGGGACGCCTTGGCTTCTGGTGCCTAGTCAATTCTCATTTGGGCTTGATTTGTTGGAACGTTCGACGTTCGCTCGACTTGTTCGTTCGACGGCGAATGTCGCACTTCGGCTGTTACTTTCGTCCTGCATGATTCTTGATGGTCCCCCCGCATTCCTTCAAGATAGACCTTTCTGATAAGGCGGCCTTAACGGCCGGTGCATCCCCGCCAACAATTCCACTGCACCCATTCGAGCCCTAACCGATAACCCTCCGACACGGGCCAGCGCCCGCAACCAAATATGCAATGCGTGTCGGAGAGACGGTGATGGTAACGATGGTGGCGGTGAGGATTATTCCACCGCGCATTGGATGATGCACTTGACTTGAAGCAACATCCGCTCACTCGGATCAGACAACGGCTCTGGATCTTAAGCACGGCATCCAGCGGCATGGGCAACGTGATGAAGACTGCTCGGCGGACTCAATTAACTTGATCGGCCCAACAATCGAAGCGCCACCTGCGTGCTAACGGTTCCACCGGTCGACACGACAAGTGCGCGGGCTGGCGCGCTCTAGGGAGGCGCGCAAGAGAGAATGCCTCGCCCGCCAGCCATGCGGCCGCCTTGCACCAGACAGTACACAAAACATCCACGCGCGGTCGGCTGACTCCATCGCCGACTCTGCACCGCCCTCCGGGCGGAAGTAGTCAGCAAAGTGGGCGCGCCCGCCAGAACGAGGGTGACTGACCCGCCCGTTCCATTCTTACCTCTGGAGGCGGCGTTGAAGCGGCATTAAGGCTTGATGCCACTCTTAAGCGAAGATGCTGATAGCTTAGATTGATCTGTCTTCTCAGGACGGTGAGCGGCTCAACAATCGACACGTCAAAGACGCGCGAAGTGTGAGCCGACACGCCACACACGTGCCAATCGGGCAACCATGTACAGAGAGGGAACCATTATAAAACGCTGCGATTCTAGAAGGCTGCGCGGAGGATGGTGACGAGGATCAGTGTCGTCTTGGAGTTTTGGGCTGGAAAGGCTTGGAGAGGGTAGCGACCTACGCCTACAGGTGAGAACCCGAGGCGAGCTCGAGGGTAGACCACACAAAGGTTGAGAATGAAGACGGGCAACATCGGGCAGCGCTGTGCGCAGCGCAGCTTCCCGACTCCCAGCCCGGTTGGGGGGGGGAGTGGAGAGGCCCAGACCCCCGACGTGATGACTTGCCATAGCCTCGACCCCATTAGGTCTCGACCCACTCCCTGGGGCTGGCTTTTCGTCCTGGGTCGTTCTTCGTCCCGAGGCCTGGTGAGGGCCCCCATAAGCCGAAACAACGAAAAGTTCTCCGTCGTGATTTTCTCACGACTCGGGGAGGTCTGGGGGTCGGGGGATGAGGGGGGCCTCACTCTGGAGCGCCTCCAGCAACCGCCGCCCTGCCTGCAACAGGCGCGACCTTAGTTGATGCTCAGAGCGCCGTTCCCCCCCCCGAAAATGTTCACTGTTCGATTTCCGGCCAACCATACATTATTTTGCCTCGAACGACCCCCACCGAAACCTTAAGCGTTTGTTCTCGACGGCGCGCGGTCGCCTCATTGGTCGACAACTGCCGTTTGTGGACTCAAAAAAAACGGGTCAAGCGTGTTGCATGTAGTCAACGTCTTTCATGTTGTGCTCTAGTATTCCTAATATGTTCTCGACGGGCTGGCGTGACCTTGTGACGCCTGTGACGTTAGATGCGTCGTCTGCTATGATGATCCTCTTCACGTATGCTTATCTTCTGACTAGGTATGTTATGATATGATAGGATCATCGCTGCCACAATGTTATTTGAAATGTTATGGTGGAATGTGCTTTGTTTCACGATGTCATGACATGATGTGGTATGTCGAAGTACATTATAGTATGATTTGTTTCGTGATATTCTTGGCAGCTCGGCTCAGTATAGTATGATGCGGTGCGATATGCTAGTATGTGTCGCTGTGCTTTGCTGTCGTGGTATGATGTGTTATGTGATGATGTCATGATATGGTGTAGCATGTTCTGTCCTGGTGTGTGTCTGATTGGTTATAGTATCGTATGTTGTGCTATGTCGTCGTGGTTTATGTAATGTTCTGCTTTGTTTTTGTTGACGGATCGGCTCTGCATACTATGATAGGATCTGCTAGTATGTGCTGCTATACTCTGCTGTCGTGATATGATATGTGCTGTGATGCTGTGTCATGGTAGCGCATGTTCTGTCAAAATGTGTTATGTAATGCAAGGTTGTGTTCTGCTAAGTTGTGTTATGTCGTCTTCTGGTATGTCATGATCTGCTCTGGTATGTTCTGCGATAGTATGGTATGCCCTGGTTTGTCATGACATTGCTGTGATCTGTTCTGCCATGGTCTGTCATGCTCGTGTCCTGTGCGGTCCTGTTCTGTTGTGTCATGTTGCAGTATGTAGTGTTCGGCGTCGCCATGTTCTGCTATCGTGTTACGATATGTTATGTGATGCCGTGTCATTGTATGATATGGTCTGCCAAAATGTGTTACGTTATGCTCGGCTCCGTTCTGCCATGTTGTGTTCGGTCGTCTTCTGTCATGCCATGTTATGCTCTGGCATGTTCTGTGATGCTCTGTTTGTTGAGGGACAGGCCCTGTGGAATACAATCTGATCTGCTCTGCTAGTATGTGCCGCTATGTTCTGCTGCCGCGTTGTGATATGTTCGCCGGTGCAGTGTCATGCTGTAACGCGTTATGCACAAGTGTGTTATGATATGCAAAGTTATTATATAATATACCATCTGCTGGTCTGGCATGTTCGGCTCTGGTATGGTATGTGATGTTATGATATGCGCTGTTTTGTTATGACTTCGCTATGCTCTGTTCTGCCAGGTTCTGTTATGCTCGTGTTCCGTGCGGTCCTGTTCTGTTGTGTCATGTTGTGTTATGTCGTGTTCGTCGTCGCTATGCCCTGCTATCGTGTTATGATATGTTCTGTGATGCCGTACCTCGATCTGATATGTTCTGTCAATGTTTGTTTCGTTATGCTCGGCTCTGTTATGTCATGTTCTGTCGTCTACTGTTATGTGATGTTCGGCTCTGGTATGTTACGTGATGTTATGGCATGCTTTAGTTTACCATGGCATTGATATGTTATGTTCCGCCATGGTATGTTATGCTCGCGTTCTGCTTTGTCATGCTCGGTTGTGTAATGTTGTGTTCTGTCGTGCTCGTCGTCGCTATGCTCTGCTGTCGTAATATTACGGTTTGTGATGCGTCGGCGTAATATGCATGTTATGCCAAGGTGTCTCGTGTTATGCTCGGTTAGGTTCTGTTATGTCGTGATCTGTCGTATTCTCTTATCTTATGTTCGTCATGGTGTGTTATGTTGTGCTTGGCAATGTTATGCCATGTTGTGTTATGTCGCCTAATGTTATGTCATGTTCTGTTTTGATATGTTTGCTGAATGGTCGGAGCTGTATACTATGATATGCTCTGCTACTATGTGACGCTATGCTCTGCTGTCGTATAATGAGATGTTCTGTGGTAGCGTGTCATGATATGATCTGTTCTGTCAACTTGCGTTATGCTACGGTCGGTTATGGTCTGCGGTGGTGTGGTATGTCGTCTTCTGTTCTGTCATGCTCTGCTCTGGTATGGTATGTGATGTTCTGTCAAGCCATGTTTTGGCATGGCATTTCTATGTTCCGTTCTGCCATGTTCTGTCATACTCGTCTTCTGTTTTGTCATGCTCTGTTGTGTCGTGTTGTGTTCTGTCGTGTTCGACGTCGCTATGCTCTGTTTCGTGTTATGATACGTTCTGTGGCGTTGTGTCATGATACGATATGTTCTGTCAAGCTGTGCTTCGTTATGCTCGGCTCTGTTCTGTGATGTTGCGGTCTGTCGTCTTCTGTCATGTCATGTTAAGCTCTGGTATGCTCTGTGATGTTATGTTTACTGACGGCCCGGCTCTGCAGAATACATTATGATCTGCTCTGCTATTGTGTGTCGCTAGGTTCTGCTGTCCTGTTGTGATGTTCGAGGATGCTGTGTCATGATGTGATATGTTCTGTCAAGGTGCGTTATCATGTGCTCGACTATGTTATGTTACGTCGTCGTCTGTTATGTCTTGTTCTGCTCTGGTGTGTCATGGCATTGCGATGCTCTGTGATATCATGTTCTGACAGGCTCCTGCTATGTGCGGTCATGTTCTGTTGTGTCATGTTGTGTTCGGTCGTGTTCGTCGCCGCTATGCTCTGCTATCGTGATATCGGAGGTGAAGGGGTGAGATCGAAGTGGAACGGAGAGCCCCCCTACCGGGAAATCGATTTCGGTTTCGTGTTCGTGCGTGCCGTGCGCGCGGGCGAGGCGAAGCTGCGTGGGCGGGCGAGAGGAAAGTCTCCTGTGGCTGAGGCGCGGCCGGACCAAATGTGTCTCTTCCGGGCGGCCGGTGGCGCGCGGTGTCCCGCCGGTGTCCCGCTGGTGTCCCGTCGGTGTCCCTGTGGCTGAGGCGCGGCCGGACCAAATGTGTCTCTTCCGGGCGGCCGGTGGCGCGCGGTGTCCCGCCGGTGTCCCGCCGGTGTCCCGCGGTGTCCCGCGGTGCCCCGCGGTGTCCCGCGGTGTCCCGCGGTGTCCCGCGATGATGATGATGATGATGATGATGATGATGATGATGATGATGATGATGATGATGATGATGATGATGATGATGATGATGATGATGATGATGATGATGATGATGCTGATGCTGATGATGATGATGATGATGATGATGATGATGATGATGATGATGATGATGATGATGATGATGATGATGATGATGATGATGATGATGATGATGATGATGATGATGATGATGATGATGATGATGATGATGATGATGATGGATGATGATGATGGTGATGTGATGATGTGATGATGATGATGATGTGATGATGAATGATGATGATGATGATGATGTCGATGATGATGATGACGATGATGATGATGATGATGCTGATGGTGTTCCGATGATGAAGATGATAATCATGATGATTAGGTTGATGATCATGATGATGACGATGATGGTGTCCCGATGATGATGAGTATGATGACGTTGATGTTGATGATGCTGATTATGATTGTGTCCCGATGATGATGATGATGTTGATGATGATGAGGTTGATGATGATTATGGCGTCCCGATGATGATGATTATTATGATGGTGATGATGATGATGTTGACGATGATGGCGTCCCGATGGTGATGATGATGATGATGATGTTGATGCTGATGTTGGTAATGATGATGATGGTGCCCCGATGATGACGATGATGCTGATGATGATGTTGATGATGCTGATGATGGTGATGTCGATGATGAGGATGAGATGATGATGATGGTGTCCCGATGATGATGATGATGATGATAACGATGCTGATAACGATGGTGATCATGATGGTGTCCCGTTGATGATGCTGCTGATGATGATGATGACGATGACTGTGTCCCGAAGCTGCTGATGATGATGATGTTGATGATGATGATTGTGATTATGGTGATGATGATGATGATGATGGTGGTGTCCCGATGATGTTGATGACCGTGATGATGATGATGTTGGTGTTGATGATGAGGACGGTGTCCCGATTATGCTAATGTTGGTGATGATGATGTTGATGTTGATGTTGTTGTTGTTGATGATGATGATGATGACGTTGATTGTGATAGCGTTTGTGATATCGATAGTGAGATCGATAGTGAGACCGAATGTGATATCGATTGTGAGATCGATTGTGAGATCGATTGTTTGATCGATAGTCAGATCAATTGTGAGATAGATCGAGTGAGATCGATTGTGAGATCGATCGAGGGAGATCGATCGAGCGAGACCGATACTGAGATCGATAGTGAGATCGATAGTGAGACCGATCGAATGAGACGTTGGTTCCTCCCCCCCCCGAACCTCCTTATCACCCGAAGGGTGGTCGTACAGGTATTTTCTGTGATGCCCGGTCATGATATGACCTGTTCTGGCAAAATGTGCTACGTGTTGCTCGGCTCTGTTCTGTTATATTGTGTTATGCCTTCTTTCGTTGTGTCATTGGCTCTGGTACATTATGTGATATTATGGTATGCTCTATTATGTCATGACATTGCTATGTCATGTTCTGTCATGGTCTGTCATGCTCGTGTTCGTCGTCGCTATGCTCTGTGGTCGTAATGTGATATGTGTTGCAATGCGTTGTCATGCTATTATATTATTTGCCAGCGTGTGTTGTGTTCTGCTCAGTTATGTTCTGCGATGTCGTGATCTGTCGTCTTCTGTTATATTATGCTCTGCCCTGCTGTGTTCTGTGATGTCCTGTCGTGCTCTACGTAGTAATGATCAGAGGTTGGGGGGTGAGATCGCAGTGGAACGGAGACCCCCAACCGGGAAATCGTTTCGTTTCGTTCGTGTCGTGCGTGCGGGCGAGGCGAAGCTGCGTGGGCGCGCGAGAGGAATGAACACGCCGTTGTTGCTAGGGCGAAATCAAAACAAATGATTCTCCACCGCCCGCGCGCCCGTCCGGCGGTGGCTCGCGGTGTCCCGCGGTGTCCCGTGGCGTCCCGTGGTGTCCGCCGTTGCTGGGGCGAAATCAAAACAAATGATTCTCCCCCTCCCGCCGGCCCGTCCGTCCAGCGGTGGCTCGCGGTGTCCAGCGGGGTCCCGTGGTTTCCCATGGTGTCCCGTGGTGTCCCGTTGAGTGAGATCGATAGTGAGATCGATAGTGAGATCCATGTGGTGCCCCGAGGTGCCCCGTGGTGTCTCAAAAAGTGAGATCGATAGTAAGATCGATAGTGAGATCGATAATGAGATCGATGTGGTGTCCCGTGGTGTCCTATGGTGTCCCGTTGAGTGAGATCGATAGTGAGATCGATCATGAGACCGATAATGAGATCGAGAGGTGTCCCGCGGTGTCCCGTGGTGTCCCGTTGAGTGAGATCGATAATTAGATCGATAGTGAGATCGACAAGTGTCCCGTGGTGTGCCGTGGTGTTCCGTTGAGTGAGATCGATAGTGAGATCGATTGAGTCAGGTGTTGGTTCCCCCTCCCCCCCTATCACCCGAAGGGTGTATTGGTATGATATGTTCTGTCATGCTCTGTCATGCTCTGTTCCGTTCTGTCATGTCATGTTCTATCATGTTGTGTCCTGTCGTGTTCGTCGAGGGCGCGAGGCGGGACAACGGGGACTCTCGGGGATCATCAGGACAACTTGGATTCTGGCGGCCGCGGTATGCAGAAAGGGGTTGGTCGGGCGCGAGGCAGGACACCCGGGACACTCAGGGATCATCGGGACAACTTGGAGTCTGGCGGCCGCGGTATGCAGGGTGGGGTTGGCCGGGCGCGAGGCGGGATACGCTGGATACTCGGGACAACTTGGGGTCTTGCGGCCGCGGTATGCAGGGTGGGGTTGGCCGGGGGACCTGTTCTTGAAATCTAACAGCCCCAACATGTCGGGCAAAGAAAAAAAGAACCGTAACGAAGACGGCGCCCAAGGAGAATCATCCCAAAGCGGACAAACTGACCCCCAAACGGAAACAAAAACGTCGACCTTGAAAACGCGAGAAATACTCCCCCCCAGCGTTTTGACATCATCTAAGGGCGCGACGCCCTGGTCGGGAGCGAGCAGCGGGGCAGTACCCTCCGTTAGGCCCCCGCCGGCGGCGGCGAAGTGCGCCACCGCCCGGGCGCGCGACAGCCCGCTGTTGCGCCTCTCGCCAACGCGCAGGAGTGACCGACCCTGGGCAGGGGGGACCTCTGGTGTGCGGCTTTCAAGGAGAGCCCGGCGGGGCCATCCAAGTGCGCAAGCCAATGCTCGGGGCCGCCCGTGTGGGCCGCCACCACAGGGCACTCTGGCGAAAGGTCACTCTGGCGCGTGGCCGGAGCCTCGGCGGCAACGACTCCGAGGAGGCCCACTGCCCCGGCACCAACTGCCTGAGGCGGGGCGCCACGGGAGGCCTGGCAACCCAGACATCCGGTGTCTCGAAGACATCGAGACGAACAAACGTGTTTCTCGTGTTCGGCCTCTCGGGGCCCTCACCAGGCCTCGAGGCCATCATGAAGCGGCTCGGGCTGAAAAACTGGTTTCGGGGAGGTGGTCGAGACCCAGACCTCCAGCTGCTCTAATTTTTTCGATGCGTGGGCCCCGGAGGTCTGGACCACTTCCCCAGGGCAGGTTTTTCGTCCTGAATCGTTGTTTGACGCTCTCGCAGCTGGGCGAGGGCTCCTGGAGGCCGAAAACGGTAAAAAACCTGCCGTTCCGATCTTTTTTGGAGCCACGGATCTCTGGAGAGGTCGGGGGCCCGTGTCTCGAACAAATCGAAACGCCAGACGTCTGGGAAGCTCGCGTCGCGGCGACGTCGGCGTCGGCGTCTGGCACCGCGCTGGTCGTCCCGCCTCGAGCGGTCGCGGCTCCCCACAACTGCGCAGGTCGTTCGAAGTCGCCGGGTGCTGGGCTGGTGGCGGCGTTCAACCGCGTGCGCCCGCGCGGGGGTCGCCGGCGCGTCATCGCGGCACGAGCCTACCGTGCTGG